CGCAATCTGCGGTATCCGTTCCCGTGACATTAAGTTTGTAGCGGGTTCCTGCGTCTTTGTCCGCAATCTCCGTGGGCGATCTTGATTCCACGCTAGTTGGTCCCGCGTCATTGAAAATATGATTCAGCTGTATTCTCGATCTGTATTTGTTCCCGTAACATACGAGTTTGTAGAGGATTCCCGCGTTTTTGTCCGCGATCTGCGCGTGCGGTATCTGTTCCCGTGACAGCCAAGTTTGTAGCGGGTTCCCGCGTGTTTATTGCACCATAAACTTTAATCTCCTGCGTCCGCGATTTGTAGTATTCATTCCCGTCAGATGCGAATTCTCGGCGGGTTTTCGCGAGTCCTTCGCACCGTGAAACTCTAATCTGCTGTGTCCGCAATTTGCGGTATCTTTCCCGTGACACAGGAGTTTGTAGCGAATTGCCACGTGTTCATCACATTGTGAAATGCGAATTTGCGGTGTCCGCGATCTGCGGTATCAGTTCCCACGTGACGTGGTTTGTAGCCGGTGCCAACGTGTTTATCATTAATTTTTGATAAAGTTTTACTGTGGCATCTCCAGGTTTGCTGTGGCATCCCCCATGTTTTTCACCATTTATCTCTTTATTTTGGGTGGGCGTTCTTTTGGAATTTTACGATAGTTGTATTCTACAGAGAGAGAGAGATCGCGTTGTTATGTTGGAAGAGAATAAAAGTGGGGGGAGGAGAGGGCCAATTGTGGATGCGCACCGGGCGCTTTTGTCACTGGCTCATATTCTACAGATCCTAAAACATGTGCGTGCAAAACTTGGTTGTGATAGGGCAATATCAGTGCAGAAGTTCCTGCGCACAAACTAAGAAGGGCATGTTTCAGAGAAAGGTGGTCATAGGGGTGTCATATCAATTTTTTGTTTTCAATAAAATTTTTATACGGGTTAGAAAAATGTGTTTACACAATGGGATGGACCTTACTTTTGCAAGGTACTTTCTTGTTTTCATGAGAACAAATTGCCAAAATCGCTGCGCAGATTGCCATTAAAATGCAATAGCATTTTGCACCTTTTTTGTATATCGTAAACGTTTCTCTACTAAACTGCTATGGAACTGCTGTGAAAAATCTAGGAATATTTTTCATAAACGTTTATAATTTTTTTATCACATTTAAAATTAATTCACACAATTTTCTGATCTTAACTCTCTAACCGAGCACTAGTTGGGAGTTACAAAAATTCATATGAATAAGCCAATAAACTGAGTGCAATTAAACTTTTCACAAAGGTGTCTTCAAGTGGTGCATTTGTCAGACAGCAAAACAAACGGGCAAACTGCCCAAGGTCAATGGAGCAATGGGTGGTTTAGCCATCTACCAGAGTGTGCTAAACAAGGGCTGAAACCGAAACGCGAGTCACACTTGTGGTTGGGCTTTGTGGTCCGTAAGAGGGGGCACTCATTATTGGTAGGCCAGGGGTTAGTTCAAGCAAATTTCAAAATTTTGGTTGTCCTGCTATGCTGTCTACGTCTTAGAAGCCGCTTAATTCTAACAGCAGTTTTGCATAATTCATACTTTTTGTCAGGGTGTCGAACCGAAATGTTTTCGTTCCGGTCCAGGGAAAACGGTTCAGCTCCAGCTCAACTCCGGAGTGAAAAAATAAAGGTTCAAACCGGTTCGTACTGATTTGCTACAAAAACAATTGACGACAGCAGAATATAAACTATGCATATTTTATAAAAGTGTTACATATAAAAAGCAAAGTCTCACATTACTGTGAGCTAGTGCTGCAGGGGCACCTCGGGACGTGGGTGAATGCGCAGTTCAATGTCAGGCAGCTGACCGAAGAAGCAGGACGTCGTCAAGTATATACGGGGAAAGACGGCAACTCTGAGACGATAAAGTGAACTTAAGGGCAGAAAAGGCTCGCTCCACGCTGACCTGGGTCGCGGGCACTCCCAGGATGTTCTGCATGGCGCTCCCGTCTCTCCTCCCAAAACTGCAACAGGTTAGCGTCCCTTGAAAGCCGCGGCTCCTCGTCTAGCATTTACAGGAGGCCTGCTATATAAAGTGGGCTACTGGTACCTTGCACGTGCACGCCAACCTCAACCTGTATTTCCTTGAGGAGCCCTTCCAGGGCGTCTTGCGGATCTTCTGGAGCCGCCGCATTTTCAGAAGACAAGGTAGAATCTTGCTCGCATTGCAGAGCTGTGATCCGTTTCCAAGTCTTTGTCAAATGCAACGTGGCCTGGTACTTTTGCTCAGGGGTGAGAAAAAGGTAGTAGCGGGGATCCATGTACACTGCTGCACAGAAGAGGTACGCGTCAAGAAGTTGTCGCTCCCTCTTTTTCATTGACTGGACCAAGGCCTTTGCTAACGGCGACAATATCTTGGAAGTGTCCATGGAATATCTCAGCCATGCCCCGTAGAAATCTACAGTGAGCTGTTCCTTCTGCAATGGCTTCGTCGCCACTTCTTCTGGGCGAAGCGATACTGCGAGCATTTTGACTTCCACCCATACGTCTTCAGTCGACCTGGAGCTTTCTTTTTTTGAGAGCAACCCTCTAGCGAAGCCTCTTAGTTCAAGTAGCCTGGTCAGCATATGCAGTGTGGACATCCACCGCGTGGGACCATCGAGCATTGGTTTCTTCAATCCTAGCTTCCTGATCAGGGACATAACACATTGGACACATAGTCTCTTTACAAGCGCACGGCTTTCTTTAATTTGCGCAAAAAATAACTTTATTTTTTTTTTTTTTTTTACATTTTTGGTTCATTTTTTTGGTTGCTGTGTTTTTTGCCACGCACTTTTCACTTGACCTGACTTCGCGTATGAACCGAAAACCACTTGGAAAACTTTTCGGTTCTGCTCCGGAGCGAAAAATATTATTTCGTTCTGGTTCAACTCTGGTTCGAGCGAAAATAATGTTTTTTTTCCGGTTTTCGGTTCACGGTTCGGGTTCAGTTCAATACCCTGCTTTTTGTTCTCGCGGCCCCATTGGGCATGCTTCTTACCAAACACTGGTGCACACCAGAGAAGCAATACCCTAGCTCGTTTTTGCGGGCGTTGCTTCTCCACAATGCACCTGTGCTTGGTAAGACTGGTGCTTGGCTCAATGGAGCCAAGAGAACAAAAAGTAGGAATTACATGAACACGCCGTTTGAATTAACCGGCTTATAAATAGATTGAAAGCATAGCGGCACGACCAAAATTTTGAAACTGATTGCCTATTAGCTCCATTGAGCACGCTTCTTACTGAGCACTGCTGCACTGGGGAGAAGCAACACCTGCGGAAGCGAGCCCCACGGATGTTGCTTAGTCCACAATAGACAACTTTTTTGCTGGATGAACAAACTTAATTTTGTTTTGAGGTGTTATGCGCTGTCTAAACAGATCACGATGGACAACATTTTTGATGATTGAATAAACTTATCTCGTACATTTCACCAATGTTTCATGCGTGGCATGCCTGCTAATTATAAGTAGGCCTGTGTAGAGGGAATCTTCAAATATCTGCTTTGTATGTGTAGCCATTCATATAACAAATCATAATTTTATCTCGCATCATATTTAGATGAATTTCTGGTAATTCAAAATTCTAATAATTCAAACAAAATTTGTCGCTTCCTGGAATTTGAATTAATGAGAGTCTACTGTACTTGCATATGGCACCACATGATACAAAAACTTGAAAGCTTCTAGGAGGTAAACACCCTGAAGCAGGTCCGAGCGTGTGTGGTACGTCATGTGAGTAACAGCGTCGACCAGACGGCTTTTTTTTTTTCTCCCATTGCATAGGAAATACGAAGTTTTTGTTTTCTTGCATTTCTTTTCAAAAACCTACGCTCGAGAAATTTGAGCATGATCAATGCACTAGCTAAAGACATCTTTGTGAAAAGTTTCATTGCATTCCGCTCATTGGCTCCTTTATGCCATTTTTTTTTACGCCGAATAGCGCTCGAGAATACCCTGTACATAAAAGAAGGTTCGAGGATAATGAAAGACCCTAAAACCCAAAATCACATTTAAAAAAAAAGAATGGATTTTCGACTTTTATCTCTTGTTAAGAGCAAGAAGGCAGTCAAACTGATGCTACTGTAACACTTTGGAACACAACGCTACAGCAAACTACCAGGGTGATTGAAAAATTATTCCGCCCACCTTTTCGGCACTCATCTCGCTCGGACTTTTCGAAACCCAAGTCTGTCATAGATTATTACATAGGCAGAGCCTTGGCTGATGTAAAATGATTTACCATATCATCCACTGTCACTCGTCCATCCGACAGAGTCCGTTCAAGTGCATGCTCAATGTTGTCATCAGTCATGGACGCAGACGGGCGTCCGGCTCCTTCTTTATGGCTGACACCTGTGTGTCCTTCCTTTCCTTTGGTTAGCACATAGGTTCTCAAGCTAGGTTTCTAACAACCCAGGAGTTCCCCAGAGTACCCTCAGGGGTTCCCCGAGCCCCATTTGTTCAACCATCCTTGTCCTTAGATGTTCTTCTAGTTGAGGCACTATTTAGAAGACATTAACCATCCAAAAATAAAAAACTCTGTACCAAACACTCCTTATTGTGTGGATTATTGTTCAGAAAGCCTGTAGGCTTCTCTGCGACTTTATTTGCTTGAGACCCGTAGGGGCCTTGCTGTTAATCAAGAGGGACTGGTGTTCCTCGAGATTGAAAAGTTTGTGAACCCCTGTGTTAGCAGATGGCTGCTGTAGGTAGTGAATTCCCACCCATAATTTTTTACTTTTTACTCGGGTCAGCTCATTCTTTGTAATTTCAATACACTAAATGCACCATCTTGAACCACCTCTCTACAAAATGCTAGCGTGGTAACATTCAGAGCGGGATTCATGCAGTCCATTGAAAGGTTCAACAATGCCTTTGACTCGCGTGGCACTAGCAGCGATGCTGCGCCAGCCGAGAGAAGTTACCTGGCGACATCTGTGAAGAGCGCCGACTGCTCTGGTGGGTTACCTAAGCAGCTGGCTGGGTGTCGAGTGTTCCCACCACGTCTTGCAGGAAGGACAGTGAGCTCGGCATGCTAGCTGTTTGGGCCCTGGCTTTCTTCCTGGCCGAGAACTACCCCAAGAAACAGGACCTCACCTCCAGGATTGTCCAGGTGGGGCTTGCTTCCAACTTCCCTGATCTCTCACATCGGGTGCCTCCAAAGGTGCCACATTGTTCACTACAAAGCAAAGACTAAAAGTGGACTGCAAATCAAATTTAAATTTTGTTTCAATATGAATATATTTTACTTTTAATGTCAATTGAGTGTGGATACTTTCAAAAACCTACGCTACGAAAGAAATCATAGATAATATAGTAAGGGTGCAGGCGAGCTGGTGATTGTTAACCATCTTGAATAAACCTGAGACTGGGGCAGAAGTGAACATATAAGTCGAAGGAACAGAAAAGGACTGGACGACATCTCAAATTCAGCTACCAGGTTTATTTAGTCCGCCTCCTTATATAGCCCACAATCAGCCACCACCAACACAAAGGGGCAACCTCTCACCAGTTGAAATGCCAAGCCCTCCAATCAGCCACTACCAACACCAAGCGACAACCTCTAAACAGTCCAAACGCCTATCTTTCCAATACACAAAATAGTACTATGGACGGCCTTCATGCAGATTCACAAAGATAACTCTACACTCTTCCCCAAAAATTGAACAAAAGAATCAGTACATATTCCATTCTAACAAAGGTTCACAAAACAAACAAAAAAAGAAATGCTCTCTTTACCAAAAAAAATAAGCTTTATGCCAGCGATGAAGGGATGACACATACTCAGGGTGTCTAGCGACCGGGAAAACCGGGAATTGTCAGGGAAATTTTAATTACCGGGAAAAATCGGGGACTTGTCAGGGATATTGTCAAAAAGCGAGCCCAGTCAGGGAAAATGAGCTGGAAACGCCATCGAGTGCCCTGAGCAAAGACTTGAGGACTTGGGGGCAGAAAAATAGGCAATAAATTCTGCTTAGAGCGGAGCGCGGGCTATGGTCACCCGATGTAGCGTGTGCTACCCGATGCAAAGGGATCAGCCTACAAATCCAGTCCAAGCCTCGAACTGGATTGAATTGAGGGTGCGACACTAGGCTAAATCTAGTTAGAGCTACTAGATAACAAATGGGAAAGCTGCAGACCCCAATCTAATCCAAGCCTTAAGCCGAAAGTATCCAAAAGTGCGCATCTGGCGGCCATGCCAGCCATACGGCCATGCTGCCATTCGGTTATTGTCGTGTGTGGTTGAGCGTCGTGTTTTCATTGTGTTTCCGGAAGTGGCCTTTTCACTGACAATGTCGGCAGCAAGAAAGTGCTCGTTTAATCCGGACTGGACGAACCGGAATATTTCAGAATATGCAAGTCGGATTAAGCCCGTGAAAAATGATTCACAAAGTCCTCAATGCTCAATGCCTTGTGTTGTAATGGTCTTATATATTTAGCGGCCTCTAGAGTGGTCAGGGAATTTCACCTGAAATTGGCAGGGAAAACCTGGAAAAGTTGGGGAATTTCAAAATAATAGTTTGCTAGATACCCTGACACTGAACCTAAAACGGGGCAAAGGTGCACACATCCCCCCCCCTGCCCCCCCACCAAAAAACAAACAAACATATTTTTAAAAAGTTCTAGGATTTTGTATCGAACTGTAACGAAGCCTGACTTATGCAATTACCTAGAGATTTTATCTGCACCGTCCGCTCTGTCTATGTCCTCCTTTACCCTGTCCATCGTTTTTTGCGCTGTTTTAACCTTTTAAGTATGTCTTCTAGCAAGCATACCTATGAAAAAGAGAACAGTTTTATTATATGGGAAACATTTCACATACCATACTATCTAGCCCACTTAAAGTAGAGAGCACATTGGGTCATAATAAGGGCTGGGCTAGCTTTCAGAGGGTGACCAGAAAAAATGAAAGCCGTTTACAACTCCCTGTAACGCCGAATTAGAGCACAGCTCTTAAGGAGGAGGATGGAAGGGTACTGAGGGGAGCATGTACTCCTCCTCCCTCCTCCTCACCTCGTCATCATGCCTGCTACTCCGCCACGGGGGCCACACGGCCTCCGTGAGGTCACGTGACCTCGGGGGGGGGGGGGGGGGGAGGTCACGTGACCTCACAGTTACGCTGACGCCGATGCCGACGGCGACGCCGCTCAAGCCGGAAACGGGCACCTAAGGGCTGCGCTCTAAAAGTAAAATTCACAGGGTCCCTTATGTTATCCCTAAGACGACTTGAAGCCGAAAGCCCAAGTGCCGATCCCAGTGATAGCGAACCTCCGAAGACGGCGCACCCTCTGACGACAAACTTTCGGCGCCGTTAATCTCGCTGGATGTCGCACGCCTGCTCTTCACCGCTGCCCGAGCGAGAGTGTCCTCCTCTCCCGCTGGGTTTACGCCGCGCATGCGCCTCCGCCGATTCTGGCACAAGTGACGCCATCTCGTAGTCTAGTGGCGAACCGTGGGTTTTGGTACCTTTTGTGTCGCCGATGTGTTTTCGCTCAGGGACTGAACGATGAGACATATATGGCTTTTGCCGTAATGAGACATATTGTAACCAATATGTGGGAATGAGGAATGTGGAAGCAACTGATAGAACACAAAAGTTGATTTACAGTCACCGACCAATTTTTTTGGACACCTTCACTTGACCCTAATGTATAACAGTGACTAAAATTTCAAACACCGTTCAACTTGTGACTCGACTGTTCAGACTTTGTGTGCACCATTTGTCCCACATGACTGCCATTGTGAATCGAATCGCTGCCATTTTGACTTTATGTTGTAGACTCAATACCACCTCCTACGTAATAGAGAATGTTTTGGTTTTATTATGGTTGCTGTTCGTCTCCATGACGGCCACGCCACTGCTGTTGTTCTTTTTATGTTCTTTGGGTGCGAACGCTTTTTGCCAATAGGCTTAGTATCTTGGCGATCTTGGTCAGCCGAACATTGTCTGGCAAGATGACAGTGGTGAAAAAAGCTGCCCCATTACTACAGAGGCCACCTGGATGCTGCAATTTCTAGGAGTGAATATCTTTTGGTGTTTTCGCATGAACAGAAAGTCACTCCTAAAACTGACTTGGGCTATCCTTCTGGGGCGGGGCATCTCGGGCTATCTTGGTACTTGTATTAAGGAAAAAGGCCTTGATAAGATTACTCAAATAAAACATAATGTAACATTGCAAACGAAGCAATGACTGCCTTATTTTTTTGTATACAGCTTGAGGTTTTCTTTTCTTGTTTTGTTCTTTAAAATTAGGGGTCGAACTATGTAAGGATACAGATGAAGACGACGATCGGCATGAGAAGTGAAGACGAAAAAGAGAAAAAGGGGATTGTAAATAGACCTAAACATGGCACCTGCTCTTATCTAATCTGCCTCCTTGGTTTTACATCTTAAAACGTTCCAAACTATAATCATACCCGAAGGAGGCTGACCTAGAATAGTAGTAAGCAACATTTCTGAGCCATCGAGCCAGCCGAGATGCTCTAACACATCAGCTTTTTTTCTTAGCACACCGGTGCAAAGCAGTGAAGCTCAATGTGACAAGCTGGAGAATTCTGAAGACATTATTTGAAAACCTCAAAAACACTAGGAATGGAATAGCAAGCATTGTATGGAAATCATTGGAAATTTGGAATAGCACCCAGTGGCAACCCGGAGAGGTGAGTGTGGCCATGTTGCGTGACCTGGTGGCACGGGGGCTTGTGCAGGCAAGCCTGGGCCTGTGCAGCGGAGGAGATGGCATCCCGCAGTCGCTGCACCTTTGCATCCTTCACGGACTTGAAAGGCTGCTCTTGGCAGACATCGTTGACAGCCAAGACAGCCAACTCGTTGTGAAAGTGTGCGTCGACCGGTAAGCCGTCATACAGGCTCACCCACCCGGATAAGTGTACTACTACTCCCCTCCAAACTCAATTGGCCATCGGCGTGGAGTCGGCACGTAGAACAGGCTCAAAGCCGAGTGTCCCTGCCTGCACACACTTGCAGAGCGCCTGTCCACACTTTGCAAGTCTTGTTGGGAGCAGGCTGGTGCACGACAGCGCAATATGTTTAGTCGTTTTTCACCTTGCCGGCAGACTCAACGTACTGGTGATTCCACTGTCTGGTCGTAGTGCCGGCAATACACCTGCGTTCATAGTGCGCCCATGGTCGAGAGATGTCGGCTGCGCCTGTCATCTCTCGGTTGAGGGGTGAATTTGTCTTCTGCCTGGCGCAACTCCGACACCGCAAATGTGCTGGAAAGTCCCTATAATAACTATTGCTGTAAAACACTTTGGTCAGGCTATTTTGTTGCTATGATCCAACCTATGGAACACAGCTTGGATGTTTACATCTCGCATGCTTCAGGATACCGACACACACTGCCTTTTTGGGTGCAGTCGTTTTCTTGTCCTCATCATTTGCCAGAATGCTTTCATGAATTTCACTGATTTTCTTTCCACATTCTCTAGAGTGAAATAGACATTTGGGCTTTGTTTACGAAACCTTGCGTAAAACCTTGGAATAAAATCTATCAGTCTCATCACTGCACTGGAGGCCATCTATAACTGAGCAGCTTGCTTCATCCTGAATAAATCTCATTGTATGGCCAATGTGACTAACATGAAAGCAACCTTAGCATTACCCAATTCGTCTTCTTGTCGTAGAAATGCTTGTCTACATTTATTTTGCAAGCTTACAGTGGTGACCCATTCCTTTGCCAGAAACTAATGCTTGAATCATCTTATCACTTTGCTCATTCTCATCATATTTCTGAGGTCGGCATACCAAGCATTTATACCTTGTATGTCCAAGTGACTGGAACCACCTTCCCACTTCAATTGCTGCAATTACTGTTCTTTAAAAAAAAAGAAAAAAAAAAAAAGAAACTCTTATTACGTTATTGTTAGGGGATTTGATTGCCATATTTTTGTGCATTGACTTTCCTCTATAATGTTTCTGTTCTTTGAGGATAAATAGATAAATAAATGAATGTGATATTAGTGGGTTACTGTGTCGGCATGATTGAAATCTCTTTCAGTGTGCGACATGGCAAACCTGGGGAGTCCCTGTCGGCTCTTGGAGTTATGCTGTCGGCGCTTTACATAGGTAAGTGCTGCCCTTGAAAGCACTCCTTGGCTGGGGTGCCAGAGAAGATGCTCTTGCAGCCCAAGGAGTGAACAAGCGCCGGTCACAGCCGTCCATCGAAATGGAGCCAGCCAACAGTGAACAGCGGGCTGCTGCCCTTGAGCGTGCCACTCTGCTTTTTGATCGGTGGGTCGACATGTTTCTGCCCTCTCATGCTCTCCACAGGGCCAGCTGTTTGACATGTTTGCTCATTTAGGGTTAAATATTCTAAACTTCGAAAAATTTGCGAATGCTGTTTTCTATTCGATTTGATTTGCAGTAGACTTTTACTGTTCAAAACATTTGAGTTTTTCTAATATTCTAAAATTACGAATGATGTTTTCAGAATTCTCAGATTTTTGTGTCAAGCTTCACCGCTTTGCACCAGTGTGCCAAGCGGTGAGCCCATCGAGCTAGCCATCTCAGTTGGCTTGATGGATTTGGAAATTCCTTCTTTGATTACAATTGTAAGTTTGATTCCTAAGTTTCAGGGACAGAGCCAGAAAAAAAGACATCAACTTATGTTTGAATGAGTTCTTTTCTTGCCATGTTACATTATATTTTATCCGAGTCATTTTATCTGGACCTTTTTTGTAATGCAAATAGTATATTTCAATTGTTTCTCATGCAATAAGATGGCTCCTTTTCATAGATATTTTTGCTGGAAGAGAATCCTACCTGTGATTATTTAAAGTATAGATCAATTCACAAGGGTTATTAGTAAATGTAAAATATTCACATTAGACAATAGTCTAATTTGATTTGCTGTTAGATTTAATATTCATATTCGATTTGCATTCAAAGATTTTAAATTTGTGCTGGACAATGATTCTTTCTAGACACTGCTTTGGATATAGACGCTTTGCAGCTATTTTGCATGGGTGCCGCTCTTTGCTATCATGTGACCCTGCTGCCATAGCCAACCTTCATTTTCCCGTGTGCAGGGTGCATTTGACGCTACGCTAGCCACCATCGCAGCTTCATTTTCATTCTTTTTACAGCGGAGCTGTTACGGACTACTTTCCCCAGTTCTGTGTCCGTCACCAAATAAATGTCGGCACAAAACTCTGGACAGCTACCGCCATCTATGGGCGACAGCGGCAACCAAGCAACCGGCTTGCCAGTTGTCTGCTTGCCGCTGTCACTCATAGCTGGCGGCAACCTTTCCAGGCATTTCCACTCTGGTTTTCACCAGAGTGGAAAGGCTGAATTTCTCTAGGCGTCGTCTTAAAAATCGTCCTCGAGGTTGTCTTAGAAGTTGTCCTTGAGGTCGTCCTAGACGTCGTCCTTGAAGTCGTCCGAAAAGTCGTCCTAGAAGTCATCCTTTAGGTCATCCTCGAGGTTGTCCTAGATGTCGTTCTTCAGGTCATCCTAGACGTCGTCCCTGAGCTCGTCCTAGGCATCGTCCCAGACGTCATCCCTGAGGTCGTCCTAGGCGTCGTCCTCTAGGCGTCGTCCTTGAGGTTGTCCTAGAAGTCGTCCTTAAAGGCCGACGACCAGACTCGAGATTCTGCAAGGCGGAAGATCCTCCTCACCATAAGGGAGGAGGAAACAGGCAACAGTGGACTAGAACGGGGAAGGGGAGAAAGCGGGGAAAAAGTGGAAAGCGCGAACTGGTCGTCTGTCTTTAAGGTCGTCCTAGACGTCGTTTTTGAGGTAGTCCTAGACGTCGTCCTCTAGGCGTCGTGCTTGAGGTCGTCCCACCATAGTACAGCTTTGCTGGTCTTCCTTCTTCACCAGAGTGGAAAGGCTGAAAGCTTTTTGCGTTCCAGGTTGACATTATACAATATTTTGTGAGGGATAGCGCGGCTTTAAACGGGCCCGTCCCGGGGATGCGCGGGGGAACGGGAGTGAAGAGGAAGAAGCGGCAGTGAAGAGCAAACGTACGCGAGACTGGCTGCAGGTGACACTAACGGTTTCGAAAGTGGCGTAGTGTGGATCGATACATAACAAGTGGGGGCTCGTCCGGGATTGACACATGAATCGAGATGTTAGTGGCATTCAGAAAATGCCTACCAGTACAATGTCTCGACAGAGGCCTGGCATATGCAGGAATCGCTGCTTCCTGGATCCTCCGGGCCAGTGTATTCTGCACCTAGTTGAATGCGTAATCTGGGACGAGCCCACTGCAAGACGTAGGCTTCGTCGTTCCTCCTTGATGCCCACACCAGTGGCTGTGGCTGCCTCCATTGCTTCATCTCCCATTAAGCTAACGTTCGACCCCGTGTCCAAAAGCGCCTTGAATGTGAACTTCCCAATACGAAGCTCTAACAATGGCTCCTTGCCACCGGCTGTTGCAGCTACCTGCACTGTGGTGTCGTAGAGGCCCGCCGGAGTGGCCTCTACTGCCAAGAGTTTCCCTGACACCTCGCTTGCATGTGGCCAAGCTGGCCACATGCAAGTTTACCAAGTTCGTGGAGCTATTCCCACTTCGAGCTCCGACCAGCAAGGACATATTAGAAAGAATGCTGGAAGTGTTTTGTCGACTTGGCTTCCCCAAGAGTACAGCGACAATGGGCGTGTCTTTGTGTCAAACCTGTGTAAAGTGGTAATGAAACACCTTGGCATCAGAGACCGCCACACGGTGCCATACCGCCCAGCAGGACAGCTGGTGGAGCGGCATAATGCGACAGTAAAACAGTGCCTTATGGCATATTGCAGTGCTCACTGCGACTGGGATCAACATCTCCCAGAGGTCACCTTTGTAATGCGAACCTGTGAGAGCGTCACCACAGGGTACTCACCTGCCCTTTTGTGTTATGGGCGCCAGCTCCGCTGCCCTTGGGAACAAAACCCCGGCCAACTCCCTTCACCAATCAGTGGCACGCCGGGCTTTGTGGCAGATTTGACGTCTAGACTGCAGGACGCGTATGAGTTTGCTCTGGAGAACCAAAGAAAAGCGCAAGAGCAACAGCGGCGTTACTACAATCGAACCCGACAGCAGTCAGAGTTCCAAATAGGTGACACAGTACTACGCGACCTGCACACCCTCAGTGATGCCAGCAAGGGAGTGGCAGCAAAACTGGCTCCAAGACGTTTGGGACCTTTCGTGGAGGTGGGGAAAGTGGGGGCCAATGACTATCGTCTGAGGGACCAAAGAACTGGAAGACTGGCGGGACTGGCACATCTGGACCAGCTTTTGAAGTTCTGCGAAGACCGACCGGACTTCGCTTTCTAAAAGGGGAGGATTGTGAGGGATAGCGCGGCACTGAACGGGCCCATCCCGGGGATGCGCGGGGTAACGGAAGTGAAGAGGAAGAAGCGGCAGTGAAGAGCAAACGTACGCGAGACTGGCCGCAGGTGACTCGAACGGTTTCGGAAGTGGTGTAGTGTGGATCAATACATAACAATTTATATGCTGGTTGTATACCTTGTAGAGAAAGACAGACGAAAAGCGACTACGTCTGACGTATTCCAAAATCGAACTGATCTCCTCGTTTTTATTTGCACGCGGTCTTCTTCTTCTTTTCTCAGTGGCTATCGCCACATAGCCCCCCTTTGGAGACGGAATCGTCCCAGTGGACTGTCCTGGAGTGTTTGATGCGAAACGCGTGTGCTACTGTTGAGCTCGAGGTGGCTTGCACGCTGGGAAGATCGGTCGGCTGAGCGATCGTATCGCTCTCAACAAATGCTGGCTTGAGGCGGTCAACGGACACGACCGTGTCGCGGCCATTAACTCGCAGCGTGAATGTTTTTTCGCCACGTGCCACGACGAGGTGGGGACCAGTGTAAGGTTGCTGGAGCGAACGGCGGACGCTGTCGACGCGCAAAAACACGTAGCCACTGTTGTGCAGGTCGCGATGGAAGAAAGGAGGCTTGCTCTGGCGTGTCAGCGTCGGTGTAGCGCGCACGTCACCGAACAGACGGGCTAAGTCTTCCACGTAAGGCAATCCTGCAGTCATCGTAAGGCCGCCGTGAATTGGAGTGGTAGGGCTGACCAATTCAGCTGGGAGGCGCAGCGATGTTCCATGAACTAGATGTGATGCGGCACATCCGAGGTCTTCCTTTATGGCTGTGCGCAACCCTAAGAGGACGATGGGTAGAGACGTGGCCCATTTATCTGGTGTGGAGTGGGCCATGAGGGAGGCCTTGAGATGGCGATGGAACCGCTCAACCAAACCATTTGCCTGTGGGTGGTAGGCTGTGGTCTTCAAGTGAGCGATGCCAAGAAGAGTTGTCAAGCTTCGGAAAAGGGCCGATTCGAATTGGCGTCCGCGATCGGTCACGATTTCGGCGGGAACCCCAAAGCGGGAGATCCAGGTGGACAGAAGCGCAGAGGCGACAGTCTCGGCAGTGATGTCTTTGATGGGACAAGCCTCCGGCCAGCGCGTGAACCTGTCGATGACGGTTAGGAGGTACCGGTAGCCCTGCGATGACGGTAGGGGTCCGACGAGGTCCACGTGAATGCTGGCAAAGCGCGTGTCGGGGAGTGCAAACTTTGCCAAAGGCGTGATGGTGTGCCGGGACACCTTACTCTGCTGACAAGCAATGCATGCTCGTGCCCACGCGCGGACATCAGTATTCATCCCAGGCCAGACAAATCGTTCCGCGATTAGATTTTGCGAAGCGCGGATGCCTGGGTGTGAGAGTGCATGAAGGTTGTTGAAGATCTGGCCGACGCCGAAGTGGTAAGGGCAGATAAGGCCGTTTCCGTCCGGTCGCCGGGTCGACGTCGCAAACGATGTTTGTGCCCAAGTCGGAGAAGTAAACGTCCTCAAGATGGAGAGAGGAGGTTGGGGAAGAGCGAAGGTTGCGGAGCTCTTCGTCACTCTCCTGTAGAGCAGGCAGTTGTCTAAGGTCACACCCGCGGTGCTGAACTGCGGAGACGTGGCTGAGGGTGTCGGTAGAAAATTCAGCTAGGAATGCCAAGTGTTGCGTCTCTCTCGGAGAGTATGTGGCCTTAGATGATCTGAAGGCATTGGTTAGTGGCTTGGGATCTGTAAAAATCACAAACGATCGTCCTTCCAGGAAGAATCTGAAGTGCTTGATGGTAAGGTAAGCCGCGAGGAGTTCACGGCCGAAGGCACTATATCGTTGCTCAGTTGGTGCAAGTTTCTTGGAGAAGAAACCAAGCGGGGGAGCCACTCGTTGTTGATGCGTTGTTGCAGCACCCCTCCTACTGCGTATCCAGAGGCATCAACCATCAC